AAAAAAAAAAAATGCCCCACAAATCCACAAGCACATAAGACGAGGTGCCAAAGATGCTTCATTCTGGTGTAAGTAACCTGGAAGAGGCTCCCCACACTTCACTGTGGAGACAAGACAGTCTTACAAGAAGCTGCAATCCAAACAGGGACAGATGAAGTAAAATAAAACACACTCACAGCAACAGTCTGTTGAGGAGTGGCTCAAGTTATCCATGAGGCCACACATCTGGAATTCACATAAAACCACAAGGAGCCACTAGATGAATTAGGAGACACTTGTGGAGTGAGAGGGCGGAGTCAGCATGAAATCTACGCATGCTATAGCTAAGGATTTTAAGGATCTGAGGCATCGCTCGCCACTGCTTTATAGTAGTAATCAACTTATTCCATGACTCACAATGGAAAAGAAAACTTTAAAAAACTATCAGTATAATAAAGTCCCTGGTTTTTGTCTTTGAAGTTGAAAAAGAATACATGCTGGATAATTAGGCAGAGGAGAAGGCAATGCTTAGCTGAGGAGTCGGAGGCATTTGGGGGGATAGGGGGTATGAGGGATCAAACTCAGGCCCTCGTGCTTGTCAGGGAGGGACTTGTGCCACTGAGCTATCTCTCTAGCCCCGTATTTCTGGTCATATTCAATACCAGACACATCACAGAGGCAAGAGACATTTGTAAGAGATCACTGTATAAACACACTCTAGGGCTGTGTATGCTTGTGTCCAGCAAATGCCCCGAAAGCTCGATTTATCACAACGTGGCACTAACCGTGTAAGCATTTTCTTTGGTACTGCTGGCATTCTGGTCGCTGTAGTACCACATAAACTGGAAATCCTGGGACTGGGGAACATGTGACATCTCAGCTTTGCTTTTAAATTCCAATGTTAAAATGGTGGGTGGTAAAAGAATACTTATGATGATCTGCCAAAGAAGAAAAAATAAACTAAGTAGTAGAAAATACATAAGATGTCTGCGCTATTCAAAAACTAAGAATTTAAGCACATGTAAAAATATCATATTCAGGCCAGGGTGTGGCACATGCCTACAATTCCAGTCCTTGGGAGGCTGAGGCAGAAGGATTCATGAGTTTGAGGCCAACCTAGAGAGACACTGTCTAAAAAAAAAAAATCACATTCATTCTTCACTCAATTTATATCTTGACTCTGCATATACTTTTTGACCCAGCAATTTCAGTTCTTTATGTGCCTCCCCCTTAGATACACTCATTTACACAAACATATGCAGATAAGGGTGTCCACTGCAAAGTTATTTGCAAAAGCAGAAACCTAGTGGTAACCTAAGTGTCAGGTATGATGGTCCCATCTTTAATTCTAGCACTCAAGTGGAAGAGATAGAAGGACTGTGAGTTTGGGCGGCATAATGAGACCTTGTCTCAAAAAACCAAAGCCAAAGCCAAACCAAAATAAAACAAAAAAAATCAGTGAAAACTTAAAACTTAAATATTCACCTGTATAGGGACAGCTGGTAAGGAACAGCCTAACAGTGGAATATAAATACAATGCTGATTATAATGAAAAGTTATCCATACAACAGTGAGTTTTAAAAAATAAACTACAGAACAATATACAGCCAGACATGATCTATGCCTGTAATCTCAGCACTTGTGAGGCTGAGGCAGGAGGACTGCCACGAGTTTGAGGCTAGCTGGGCTATCTAGGGAGTTTAAGGCCACCCTCAGCTATATAGTGAAACGTGCCTCAGAAAAATAATATATATACAGTAGTCCCATTTTTGTAAAAAAAAAAAACTTTACTTCTAAACAGATATGCATCTACAATTTTAAAATACACATAGCACAAGGTTTTATCATTTTTAAAGTTGTTAGGTAGATATTAACACATAAAACATACTAAAACTTATTCATACGATAGGTTTGTAAGGATTCTAAGCCAGATTTGGGGCACACATCTGTAATCCTAGCACTCTGAGAGGCAGATGTAGGAGGACTGAAAGTCTGAGTTCATCCTTTACAATTTAGAAAGACCTCATCTGAAAATAAAAAATTAAAAATTAAGCTAAGGCTACATCTCAGTTCAAAGGCACTGGGTTGAAAAGAATAAATAAATAAAAACCTCAAAGACTATAAAAGTATCAAGTTAGAACCACCTCCAATCCTGTACAAATACTTTGGTAATAAGACCCAAAAAAGGATCAATAAAAACATCCACAACTTTTTTCATTGCATTGCTCTGATTTGTGAATTATGAACATTTATTTCAAAATAGTTTTGACATTCAGCTTATATGGCCTCTTAAGGTAATGGTTTAGAAGATTTACTAAAATGCACTTAATACCCCCTATTTCAAACTAAAAGTCTCAGTATTCTGAGATTTAGTGACCAAAAATAAGATTAAACCAGTCACTCATGATTAAATAATGAAAGGCATATCCTTGTCAATCTTTCATCTGTTTGCTTTTCATAGTGAAATCATCTTCCTTTGTTTTGCTTGGGCTGGTGTCCTACAAAGACTCTCTCAACTTTCTCTAATTCTGATACAAGCGTGTTTGTGTGTTCGTTCTGTTTGCAGATGTAGAACCCAGAATACCTACACCCTCCTAGGAGTGGAAGACAGCCATAGTTACAGTGGTGACTTTAGAAGGACTGGCTCCTAACTTGCTCCTTGAGGAAGCCTCAGTTGCCCTCGTCTACTGTAGGGACATTGTGAAATATTAGTGAAACAGTAGTGAGTAATACCAGTATCAAGGATATCAATATCCATTTCCAAAAGATAGGTTGGAGTCTACACACTAAAAGCATTTAAACGTTTCCCATCCACATAGTGCCATATGGCATTCCTGCAGTCTCATCCATCTGGAATTAGTCTAACTGGGACAGCTTATAATTATTTGCAAAGCTGTTCCTAAAACACACAAGCTCAGCTCAGATCAGTTAGGATCTAGACACTAGAAAATAACGGCTCTCTGCAGCTTGGAGACTTTATCAACTCGCTGTATGTTTTGGGGCAGAACAACTCATCTTACTCCAACATATCTCATTTTTTTGGTGTGAAGCAAGAAAAATTAATGAGGTTCTCAATAGCAATAAATTGAGAAAACTGAAGTATGCACAGGGCACAGCTATGAGGATAATTTATTCCTCAAACCATCAGTGAAGTAAGCCTCACTTTTCTCCCTGAATATTTAAGCACAGTGGTGGCCAGAGGGGACCCACTCATACATCTGCTTTACCACCTCCCAGGCTAATGCCAAGGCAGGTCAAAGGCAACTTGTGGAAACAAACCCTCTCTCTGACATAGCGTTAAAGAAGAATCTATATGTGATAGCACTTCACTGACTTCTCTCTCATTTCTGCAATCTGCATCCATCAAATACATATTTTTTTTTTTTATTTAGTACAGGGTCTCATTGTGTAGATTGTGCTCATAGTGATCCTCCTGTTTACAGCCTCCCAAGCTCTGGGATTACAGGTGCATGCCACCACGCCCAGGCTCAATTGCCAGGGATCAAACTCCTGGCCCCTGCATCTACCTAAGCAGGTGCTTTAATCCGCTATGTTATTTGGCCGGCCCTATATTTTAGAACAGACATTCTATGTGGGATACATCATATTTTTAAGGAAGAATTAAATTAAAATATCAAATGTATTCTTACATAACTCTTAATAATTGCCACACCTGACTCCTTATTCACTTTCATAAACGTATGTATTCCTTTTTAAACTTGTATCAGTGCACATTAGTGACACATAGTGAATACACTCTTCATAGGGCGCTGGCACATACATGTCACACCTTCGTTCTTTTTACTTCTTCCTTTCCTCTCCCTTCCTTGCCTTTTCCATTCCTAAATCCTCTTCCTACCTCTATAAACTCAGTTTCCCAGTTTCCTATCATCTTGCTTTTATTTTTCTCTGCAAATTATTTTTATTTTGGATCTTAGTATGGTGCTACAACCTGCAAACCCAGCACTAGATAGGCTGGGCAGGAGGGCTGCTGTCCGTTCAAGGCCAGCCTGGGCTACCTGGTTCAAAGCCAGCATAAATATCAATGTGAGGACCAGCGAGATAGCTCAGCAGTCTAAAGCACCTGCTCAGGCAAGCTTAGGCAAGTGCACAGGGACCAAGGTTCAATCCCCGGCGCCATATGCCATGACAGCCCCGCCCTCAGGATGGGCTGAGCCAGCCACAATAAATAAATAAATGTGAAACCCTGTCACAAAGCAAAAACTAATAGACCGATAGGCAGATAAAGCATTTCTCATCTAAGAGAAGCCATTATGAGCATTATGTACTACCTAAGGGTGAACACAGGCTAATAACTGAAAGGTAGTTTTGCTCTCAAAGCTTAAAAGTCCTCATCAGGTAATGCAATCCCTCTTGCTAATTTAAGTCACAGAAAGAGCTAAGATTTTGGAGGGGATTAGTGGCTTGAACACATGCCAGGGGATGTGTTCAAGCAACCTTACAAAATACCCACTTACTCCCTGGAACAGTACATTGCATGAACAAAGCAAAAGACAGTGCTAACGGCACCTACTTTACTGCCTGTTGGTATTGTACTTTGTTTGGTTTTGACACTGGCCATGGAACCCAGAGCCCCACGAATATGAAGCATGTGCCCTACCTGTGATCTACACGCCTGGCCGCGGCTCACCCTCTTGAGAACAACCTCACTAAAAACCTGAGTCTTATTTACTCGGGATTATCAGAGACACCTGCCAAAACGAAGTGCTATGCATGCTGTTCATTTCTTCTGACCACTTCCACTCACACAGGTCCCTTCTGCTGTGGACTTGGAAGACAGGTACAACTACTTCCGTTTTTAAAAGTCACGTGGCAATGAGAAACGGAAGTCGTCAGATGTTCCTGTGACGTCCCAGCTCACCTGTGCCAGGATGTGAATTGGCTTTCCTGAGGTCATCCTGCAGGAATGAGCTCCTGAGAACGGAGCACAGGTGCATACAGACCTTCAGTACCTAACGTGAACCTCCGCGGCACAGGTACACGCACCTTTAACCAGGAGTGCTTCCTCATCTTCAGACGTCCCACCCACATGTCTGTCAGCAGCATCTGGGTGCATGAGTGCGAGACGAAAGGGCGCAGCCCTCCAGACGCCGCCAACTTCAGGCAGGTGAAATTGCTCCAGTTCTTGAGCTCATACGTCAAGAGCTTCATGGCCATGGGCTCGTTCTGCTTAAATGCCTTCTCCAGCACGTCCAGGGCCAGCTGGCCAAACTGCCTGTAATGAGCAGTTAGGAATGGAGACTACCACGACAGGGGGAGCCCCAGAAATGTTCTAAGTCACTGGACACAAGACTCAGAAAATGCTAGTTAATCTGACTTTATTAAGAAAAAAAAAAAAAAAAAAAAAGAAATCCAAAATCTCAGTCTGGAGCTGGGGATAAAGCTCAGTGGCACAACACCTGCCTGGCAAGTGCAAGATCCTGAGTTTAATTCTCAGTACCCCCCAAAAATAATCTCAGTCTGCAGAAACTAAAAGGCTGGCGAATCAACAAAGTAATTTTCCTCCCTTCCATGGAGGAATGGAGCAGGGATGTTTTACACGTTAGCACACAGAGCGTAGCTCACTCCCAAACTATTCATCAGGACAATTCACTGTACACCATGTGACTCAGAACACAGCTTGGCCTGAGGCTCCCTGAAAAGTCCTCCCAGACAACTCTCTGGCTGAAAGTCCTATTTCCTTCTAAGGAAAGTTTGTGGGTCTTTTGTTTTGTCATATTTTATAAAATGCCATGATAGTTTAAGAAGTTAGATCCAGAGAGACACCCGGGAAATTTTCCATGAGGTTATCTGCTCCGAGACAGCTTTCACCCTCAGGACTTTTTTCAAAATCAATATTATAAATTTGCTTCCACATTCTCTAGGCTTCTTGCTTTCCTCACTGACATGACACTCTGTTGTTCTTTAACATAAGGCACTTTCCTGTTTTCCTGACCTGAGAAATATAGCAAACAAAACAACTTAGTTTAACTTAGGATCCAAGAATTTCAGAATGGGAGGGGCTTTTACCATCATTCATTCCAAAACTATTTACTCTAGTTAAGTCACTAAAGTCCCATCATGTATCAACCTTTTGGCTAAAATCAAACTAAAGCCAGAAATGTGGTCACCTAGTGAGACGGATGTATCAGGAATCAGCTGGACTTAGGACCCAGCTTTCCTGAGCTGAAGGCCTCACTTTCCTATATAACACAAGGTTCCTTAAGATCCCTGTGACACAACAGTCCCTGAATTGTAACACTTAGGGCTGGGAATCACCTTGACTGCTTGGATGAGGGGTTATCTAGAATTCCTAAAGCATTTGGGGTATCTGTGGAAGTTAGCACAGAAACCTGAGTGGCCTGAGAAAGAACCCATCCTCCAAGTGGACACTACCTACACTCCAGGTAGATACTACTACACTCCAAGGGTGCAGGGAGAACACATAGAAACAGCCAACCAGTCTCTGCCCCTTGAGAACTGAAACATACTGGTTGCCTGCACTGGACATCAAAAGTCCAAGATCTCCTGCTTTTGGATTCCAAGACTCACAGCTGCAGCAGCAGCTTGCCCTAGCTTGCCAGCTGTCCTCTTGAAGGAAGAGTTACACAGCCCAATGTCCTAGTTCTAGGGTCTTCAAATGTGGACTGTGCCATGCTGCTGGCCAAGGGTCACCAGCCTTCAGGCAACCTGTCCCGGGACAGACGCAGTGTGCAGGCCACAATGATCCTATCATCAGCCCCCTGGTGAATGCCCTCCCATGATGGACCTACATACACCTACATGTAGCAATCAGCAAGTGCTCACCTCATAAATTCAAGGGTGAGGGAGATAAGAGGGTCTAACCATGACAATAGTAAGTCTTACTTTGAGTAGTTTTTCAGCTCTTCTGAGGTGTCGTCCACCATGTTGCTCTCCTGAGCTTCGCGGGCCATGGCTCGGTAGAGGATACAGGCAAATACAGCCTTCACCGTGGCCTCTGCTCCATGCTGCCAGAAGAACATAGCCATCTTCTGCCTCTTCATGAGCACAGCCCAAACCAGCAGGTCATTGTACGGGTAAGTAAAGCCGGTGGACTCGAAGTCATCCAGCATATCTTGTTTTTCTTTTGACTTGTGCCTTGATTTATGAGGGACTCCAGACTTTTCCTGTTGAAAAGCAAAATAGGAATAAGTTTCAAATGCTCAAGTGCATGACAGCTCACCTAAGCCAACATCTGTGGTGAGTAACCTACACACATTTTTTAAAATCACTGCTAAAAAGAGACATGAAAGAATTAATAGGGCTTACAAACTAGGAAGCAAAATTTCCCATTGTAATTAATAGATCTAGATACCTGAAATACCTGAGAATTAGTTTAATTAATTAAGCACAACTTGTCAGTATTGCTTTAGGACATACCCAGTAAATATACAATTTCTCAAGGCAATGGGTTCAAGTAGCATGCTGAATAAATGAGATTATTTTTCTAATCTCTAACCACACCTTAGCAAAGAGATTCATTGTCTTCCCCTTGGAAGAAATGTCACTGGAGTTGTCGGCATGCATCCAGCTACACTGGTTTTGTTTTTTTCTCCTATTTCTCTAGTAAGGCCAATAATAATAAAATGTTCTCCCTCTGGTAAGCACTGCACCATGCTATTACCTTGGGGAAAGGGGGACCGTTGTTCAGTCATCATATCTGTCCCTATCTACCTGCCTCCCAAATTTAACCAAGCACTGAATATAAGGCCTGAAAGAAAATAAAGGTTCCATAATTACTCTTTGTAATTGGAGGGATCATAGCAAAACAATTGTAAGCTTTTCTCAATTTCTATAAATAAAGGGAATCTGTTCATTAATGATGGCCCAGGATGACCATATCGCTTTTCATCCTACGAACCATAGATAGCAAACCTTTCTCAGCCTACCTGGTAGCTATTTGCTAAATGTAAATTCTCAGGCAAAAACATTTATGCCCAGAAGAAAGTGTGATTAAGGAAATGGGGAAGAAGAAAAATATTCATGTTGTGCACATACATGAAGGTTACACACACACACACACACACACACACACGTTATCATTGCTATACTGTAACATTAGGCTATAATGTTTTTCAGGAAAGCCTCAGAAGGAAAAAAGAAGTTCCAAAAGGGCAGTTTGAGAGAACAGAGGAGGGAGAAGCACCTTCACACCTAACTGGACTTGGGGTAAGGAAGAGAAGGGTGTGGTGGGAGGCTAATGATTACAAACATTTAATACCATTGTGTAGACTGCTTGCCTGAGTCACTGTCTGGACAGGGGCAGAGGGAGGAATGAGGAAGAGAAACCGAAGTGCAAGGCAATCACCCTCCGCCAGCACTGTGTCCTGGGCCTTTGTGCGTAGTTGGAGGGGGCAGCTGTGCTATGCTTTTAATTTGTGCCCTCTGTTTTTGGCGCTTGTCAATGTTTCCTCCATTTGTACCTCTCTTCCTCCAGCCATAAATAAAGTCTTAGTCTGCAAAACACATTGTTATTTCCAACTCTAGAAGCAAGGACATGGTACCTTGAGTTTGTAGGGCTGGGCCGTTCTGCAGAACTGGGAATGCGGGGTGCTTTCTGCAGACTCTCTTCTACTTTCTGAGGAGCGCTTTAGGGGCAAGGAGCCATGGGAGAAGCGCGGAGGTAAGCTGGTCACGCTCTGCACATGTTGTTATTTAATTTTTTAAAAAAAACAAGAGAGCAAGAATAGACAGTGAGGGAAGGAAAATATAATGTTACTTCTTATTAAGTATCCAGTGGTTCTGTCTCTCATCCAGGATCAGCAATTAAATGCCCGGAAAACTAATTCTTCGCCTGACAAGAATTTCCCATGATCCCCTACGCACACTGTTATTTCCTAACGCCTTACAGAACATGCTCTTTTGCTTCCAACACATTCCACTGGTGGAAATCCCATCACAATCAATGGCTGCTCTATCTTTAGTAGGAGTGCAAAACAGGTAACCAAGATTTATGGTTCTGATAAGAGAAAGTTCCCATTCACGAATGGCTCCCAAGTTAAAATGAAGTTAGAAAGCCATGGAATTTCTCCGGGTGTTATACAGTATCTCCACTGCAGTGCCAGTGCTTAGGCCCAACATCAGCATACGTCACTGCTATCAGCATTAAGTTTTCCTTGATGAGAAACAAGAATGCAAAGAAACATTCTTGAAAGGACTGGCATAAATTTAGAAGATGTGAGCTACAAATTTGGGATTGCTTCATATATACTCAGTTTATGTTTTATGGATAAAAGTTGGACATGGAAATAATAACCCCAGACCCAAATCATTATCATTTTTATTGAGGTAAAGAATTAGTAGTTATCCTTATGGCAAGGAGCTATCATCACTAAGAGTTACTCAGTACCCACTATGTATGTATCAGAAAAGGATTTTTCAAGTATTACATAATTAATCCTCTGACAAGTTCATGAAAGGCACATCAATATTCCCACACTTTTGGTGAGGAAGCTGACACACAGAAAGGTGGAAGCTGACGCTCAAGATTATACACTGTCACGTATGGTTAGGATCCAAAATTTCCCTCAGAAAGCCTCATTATGTAGAAGACTTGGTTGCTCATGGGCTTTGGGGAAGTGAATGGATTATTTCAGCCCTGTCTTCATCAGTGGAGTGATCCACTGACCAGCTCATGATTGGACAGTAGTATGATTGGGAAGTGATAGAAATGGAGATGAAGCCTAGCTGAAGGATGGAGACCATGGGGACGTGACACTAGGAACTGAACTGGTTCCCCAGCCCGTCCTCTCCAAATCTGTCCCTCGCTTGCTGCCTCCCAACTGCCAGGAGAAGAGCAGCTCTGCCCATCGTGTTGCCTGCCCTACGGCTCTGCTCCATCTGAGACTCACGGCTATAGAACCAGCTAACCATGGACTGAATCTCTGAAACCAGAAGCAAGACTAAATCACTCCTCCTTTAAGTCTGCTAGTGTCAAGTCGTTAGCCACAGTAGGGAAAGCTGGGGGATACATATGCCTACAGGAAACAAACTAAGATTCAATCTCAGATCCCTCGGACTTCCAATCATGCACTTGGGACTATTCCAAATGAGTAGCAGTCTGCTATGAAACACAATACAGTCTCTCCTATGTCACTGCAATGTAATTGGAGAAGTGGCTAATTTCATCTTGCTGACCCCTCACTAGAAAGCACCTGAGGGGAACTTCTGTAGCAGGGTCCATCCTGGGCTGCCCAAGACCATGGTCCTCTTATTGCCACAGGAGAGCACTCATAGAAAGGGATATTTCCTTTAAATGAAGCATCTTTCATTTCCTAAAGCCAAGTAGCCATTCATTTCTACTTCTTTAAAAATAATGGCTGAGGGCTGGGGATATAGCTCAGCAGCACAGTGCCTGGCAAGCACAAGGGCCTGAGTTCAATTTCTGGTAGCACCAAAAAGAAATGATGCTAAAATAACAGTTGCATAGTCCATGCTTTTGGTGTGATCTCACCCAAGACTCCCCTCCAGTCTCTTCCTTCATGACCTCCTTGTCATTGCAAAAAACATCCCCGACTTTGCAAGCTGTATCCATCCCTGCTCCTGCTCTTCTTTCAACTAAATGCGCCAGGCTTCCCTTGCTAACACTGATCTCATCTTCCAGTAATAATTAGGCTCCCTCAGCTCCTGTTATGTAATGATAATTTTAAGAAACAAGGAGTGCTTTCGCTGCTGATCTAATAAGCAACCCTATCTAGTCCTACACCCTTAACGTGGTTATTCATAAAGCTGTTTTTTCTCAGAGTTCCTAAGTGCCTCATCTTTATATTCTTTCCATTTAGCACTCAACACTGTACTTTGCACATAGCAGTACATAACTGCCTATAAACAGAACATCCAACTATGATCGCTAATTACCCTTAGGTTCACTAAAGTACACTTTTTATTTTTCCAGTGGTACTAGAGATTTAAACCAGGACCTTCATATTTAGCTGTCTCCCCACCTCCATCCCACCCCACCCTGTTTTTTTAAGACAGTGTCTAACTAAATGTCTAAGTTACCCAGGCCAGCTCCAAAGCCAAGATCCTCCTGCCTCAGTTTACCAAGTAGCTGGGATTACAGGCATGTGCCACTACACCTAGCTTCAAGTGCCACTACACCTAGGTCCAAGGGCATTTTTCAACTATGTTACCTTATTTTTTCTATAAAGGTTGTTGTACAGGATTCTGAAAGTTTTCCTAGTGTAGCTGCTGCGGTAGGCTCCACCAATGAGGTACTCTACCACCAATCCAATGTCAATCAGTGTTATTTTGTAGCCAGAAATGAGGGTGTGCTGTAACAAAAACACATAATGAATGAAAGCTTTCAGATCTCTTTTTCTGTCTCATTTTCCATCTGTCAGAGCATAACCAAATTAATTGCCAAGAAATAAACTTTTTCATCATCTTTTCAAACTGATCAATTAATATGGCTAGCTATTGACTCAATCTGCTTATTCAGAAGTAAAAAGGTCTTAGCCTTCATATGAGTTCTAGTTTCACAGATATCAAATATATTCTTTCTTTTCCTCAGCCTCTATTTCCCTTACCCTTTATACCTGCAAACATACATACACATCCATTAAAAAAAAAATACATTCAAATCTACTATAAAAATTCTTTTCAAATAGAAATTAGGTAGCTACAGAAGTAAATTTATGATGTATACAGTGAATGTACTTCATCCAAAATTGGGACTGGGTTAGCTTTCCACCACACTTTTGAAATGGCTGCAATCCTTTCCACTGTGTGGACTGTACCTAGCTGAAACGAAAACAGAGGAGGAAGGAGAACAAACAAAGACAGGCCAAAGAGCTTTGATAGGAAATGGTTAAGTTACACCAAGACAGATGTCTTGGCTGGTCAAAGAGCTAAGTGCAAGACTCTCAGGTACGTGGTCCTCAGTCTAAAGGAAAACTGTGTTGACCTCTTAAACAAATGTCACATGACTACCTTACATAGCTGTTCACTTCTGAACTACCATTCCCAGTAAAATCTTTAAGGCACACACAGTGCCGAACAAGGTCTCTAAAACAGACAGACTGTGAATAATATTCACAAAGCTATGAACAAGAAATAAAACTGTGGGTGTGCGTGTAGTTTTTCTTTTCCACAATTGTTTTTTTTTTTCAAGCAACATCAAAACTGAGTCTTATCTGCTGCTACTTACACACATATATAGCATAGTTTTGCCCGTTCCCTTCCACTCATTATGATAAAGTTAGAGGAAATAATTAAAGGAAATAATTTAAGGGAAATCTTTTCTTCGTTTGTTTTTATTTTTAAAGAGAGAAAAGCCATTTTGACATAGCATAAATCATTGTAAACTAAGTTCATGTCAGCATGGATGTTTTTGCTTACTCTAAATTTGCCAAGCAAACAGTTCCCTCTGGCTCCCCCGGAAAATTAACATAATCCTCCAGAAAGACAAGAAAAGAACTTTAACAGGTGCCTTGGGTAGATATGAACCACAGTGACAATATGAAAAGCCCTTCCAATTTCAAGTACTATCTAACTCAAATTCAGTGGGAACTCCATGAATAAGATAGCACAGGAGTGGTCTCCTTCCTGATTCCCTAGAACAAAGGTTGGACTCACAGAAGAAGAGATAATCTACCTAAATTGTCACTAATATTCAAAACAATAATACTAAAAACAATGGAAATTACATTTTGGTTCTGGGTGAAGACAACAGCACCACCCACTTCTCTGCTTCGGCGAGCATGGTTAGCCTTCAGGTAGGGGAGTGTGATGCTACGCTAAAGTCCTGACTGCAACCGTTCTTCATAGTTTTTATTAGCTAATGTCACTTACTTGCTGGTTCAGCACTTTAAAAACCTTAAGCAGGGGGGAAAGTAAGAGTATGATTTTGTAATGGAATTGTCAGACTCACATGTATAAAAACGTAGGCGATTCCCTATAAAATTCAAGACTACATTTAAGAAGCAAAATTTGGTGACCCCTTCACTGCAACGCTAAGGATATGCAAAGTATTTTCACACCTCCGTGATGAGGTTACCTGTTTCACGTCTTGGACAAGATGATGCAAGAGCATATTAGTCGGCCCTTGTTTCTGTGATGAAAATAAAAGGAAGAATTAATTCCCTTTAATTAACAGGTGCTTTGGGGCATTTTATTTCAGAATACATAAGTCACCCAGAATATGGAAAATTTTTGTTCCACGTCCCTAGCTATGAAGCTTTAGAACTAGTTAATTTTAAGGAGATTCATAAGAGAAAATATGGTAGGTGAAATGTTTTTCAAAGCAAAATGTATATACGCAGGTAGAAAGATAGTTAACTCTATGTGGTAAAAGCAGAAAGAGGGCCATGGAGAAAGCTCAGTGGTCTAAGTACCTGCGTTTGATCCCTGGCACAACATGCTGTGCCGGCCCCGCCCTGGGCACATGGGCATGGTGGCACATGCCTGTAATCCCAGCGCTGGGGAGTCTGAGCTACATAGTGAGACCCTATACCAAATAAATAAAATTTTTTATTTATTTATTTATTCCTTTAGTGTGTGTGTGTGTGTGTGTGTGTGTGGCCAGTTCAGCCCACCAGGGGGCGGGCTGGCTGGCATGTGGTGCTGGGGGATTGAACCGCGGTCCCTGTGCTTTGCCAAGCTTGTTCCAAGTAGGTGCTTTAGACCACTGAGCCATCTCACCAGCCCCAATAAAATTTTTAAAAAAGCAAAAATAAATTTTGAGTCACGTATAAGTATTCTTTATTATATACAAACATTGCCAGGCTGGCCAGATAGCTCAGCAGACTAAAGCGCCTGCTTAGGCAGACACAGTGACCAGGGTTCAATCCCTGGCGTGCCATGCTGGCCCCGCCCCCAGGGCATGCTGAGCCGGTGACTGAGGCCAGGCTTAGTGATGTGCACCTGTAATCTCGGCTCTTAGGAACCTGAAAACAAGAGGAACACTACGTGTCTGATCTGTGTAGTGAGACCCTGTAGACCCCGTACTAAATACATTTTTTTAAAAAGTAATATACAAACATTGTCACACAATTACAAATCTTCTCACACAACAGTGTCTCATCATCAACTATTTATTGAAACTGTACAATGTTTCATAAAGTCTCTAAGGGACTGGAGGGCTTACACAAAAATCCTAGCCAATAATATGACAAGGTATCTGCCGCTCACTGTGAACTACCAGGAGTAATGGAGAAGATTTTTTTTTTTAAGTCTTAAATTCTTATTTTTTTTCTTAAATTCTTTATTTATTTATTGGGTTTGGTTTTTTGTTTGTTTGTTTGTTTGTTTTTGTCTTTTTGAGATAGGGTCTCACTAATACAGTCATGTGGTTTATTTATTAATTAGCAGATTATTAGGAGACTTTCAACCAAAGGAGAAATATCCACTCGATCCATCACTAACGCACGTTCAGGCTCTGTAACCCAGCCTGGTCTTGAACTTGCAACAGTCCTCCTGCCTCAGCCTCCAAAGTGCCGGGATTATAGGCATGATGAGACCACTGTGCCCAGCAGGAACAACATTTCAGTAGTGCCCTTAAGATACTTCAAAGAATGCAATAAAAAGCAATTTTTTCTCATTCACATCTTTGTCTTTATTTCTTAGTCAAGTAAGTTGATAAGAATATTTCTCCTTTGGTTGAAAGTCTCCTAATAATCTGCTAATTAATAAATAAACCACATGACTTTAAAATATATATAAATAAATAAATAAACTCCATGGACGTGACTTGCACGATGTTCCCTACTCACTGTGTTATACAGCTCTTCCAATCGGGGGATGGTAAGGAAGCGATGAAGATGCACTCCGTTCTCAATTAAGAGCTTCACGAAATCCACTCGATCCATCACTAACGCATCTAACATTGCTTGTTCCAGCATGCCAGGCTTCAGAAGATACAAACCAGACAGATAGAGAGAGTTAACATGCTAGCACACGGATCATTGTGAATTCCAGACCAGCCTGAGCTACCAAGTGAGCTCAAAGCCAGACTGAACTGCGTAGCAAGACCTTGTCTCAAAAAGAAAAAGAAAAACAGACTAAGGAGCTGCATGCATTGGAACTCAAAGCTACACAGATTGAATAATTACAAAATATAATCTTAGATGTGAAGCTAATAAATACAGATATCTGAATAAATCAAGAAATAGTTCATGTCACTGGATGGGAAAGCGGAATATTTTTAAAGACCTCAAAGCACCCCAAAATAATAGGGTGTATCCTTAACAAAATTCTAATAAAAATGTGAAGTTTTTGGTTTTGTTTGCTGGTTGCTGCTGTCGCTGCTGGTGTTTGTTTGCCAGCTGTGCTAAGACCATGTTTCCATTTAAATTCTACTTGATTTCTGAGTATAAATAGCACAGTAAACCTGTTCTCCTACCATCGCTCTACTAATACTGCAGCAGAGAGTTTTTGTAAAAGAAATCCATGAGCACAGGCTAACAGAGTGGATAAAGAGGGCAAAGTTTTGAAAGGTGGAAAGCCGTGGCTCAAGTCCTGAAACAAGCAAAGCGGGTATTGCAGTGTCCAGAAAGCTGAGGAGCAAGGCAGGAAATGCCCAAAGCTGAAAACATCAGTGCATAGATTGCCAGAAGTTCCAAAAAGAAATGTGTACTTGCTGAACCCTAGACCCCAACCTTCTTAGTCACAGTCTCCTGGTGTCTTAGTTTTGCAAGGGGGACAATACACTACAGGATACATTTTATAAGACTATTTTATAATCACCCGAAGAATCACACACTAATAGTGTAGGCAACCTGTTCACACATTAAAATCCAAAGAACCCAGCTGAGGGCCTGGATCCTATAATAATATCCTACATGAGTCCAGAGCTCATAACAATGCACCCCACAAATCCAACTGGAGGCCTAGAGCACACGACAATGTTTCATGCAGGCCTGCTTCACAGATCTGCGCTAGGAAAGCCCAAAGTGGTAGAAGCTAGGAAGTCTGTGCCAGAGGGATGAAGGATCTGTGCTAGCAGGCTGAGGGATCTGCACCAGAGCCAGGAGGCAATGCTCAAGGTAAGAACCAGAGCTCCCTCAGAAAGTACCACAGCCATCCCCAGCAACAGTAAGTAAGCTTCTAAGCTTCTTTGATGAGAAGGAACGCTGAGTTCCCATCAGGAAAGCCAAGTCAACAAGCTTCTCTAGGAGATGGAACTGTGCACCATCTTCCTCTCTAGAGCCAGGAAGTAATGCTCAAGGTGAGGACAAGAGCTCCCCTAAAGTGACTCATAGTCATTCTCAGTGACAATGAGGTCCCAAGCTTCAATGGGAACAGCCAGGTTCATCAGGAAAGCCAGAATGACAAGGTCCCCCAACAGAATAGCCCAAGAGAATCAGCAGCTTCCAATAGCTCCCCAGCAGCTTCCAAACAGCTTCCCTATCAGCCTCTCTACAGCTTCTGTAGTTCTGCCTCTTATGTGCCAGCAAGGTGGGCCTCCCACACCCAGCACCATGCTAACTCAATTCAACTGGGTGTAACAAGTTGACCACCAGTTGGCAATCCACCGCATTATATAAGCAAAAAGGATTTTTGCCTTTCAGCAAAGTATGAGAAAATCCTTGTCTGGCAGTATCACTCATGCAGGAGAAAGGATGTAAATATTCTGGCAATAAACAACAATCCAATCACCCTATTATAAAGTTGAAGCTTAGGAAATCAGATACAGGTGCAGGATCTCTAAGGGGTTTTCTACCCTACACCCTTGAGCAGAAAGATCAAAACATACATATCATAAAACATCGACCTAGAGGAATCAGAAAATGCAGGAAGTAAACTTCAAAAGAAATGTCAATATCTTGGGAGAGATAAAACAGGATACTGTCCAGCTGGAAATAAATTAAAGAAGGAGGACAATACAACCAGAGAACAAATTTGCTCTTAGGAATTACTAGATTAAAAAATAAATAAATAAATAAGGAATTAGTAGATTAACTGTATTCTGCTAGAACAGAAAAGCTTCACAGAAGTCTCAAAAGTTGAGAAATCTACCAAAGATATAGAGTACAATAGAAAACAAGGATTAGAGAAGCAGTCTATGTAGTTCAACACTCAGAATCTAGAACTCCAGGGAAGAAGGAGAAAATAAGTGAAGGGGAAACATGAATGTCAAGCTGAAATCATGAGCCCAGAACAATGGTCATTTAGACTCAATGACAGCCATCATTGTGACATCTTCAAACACAAGAGAAAGGATGACATCTTAAAATTTCCCAGATTTAGGGGGAGGAGGGAATCAGAAACAAAGGATCTGAAGAACAGAAATACATTTACTTGTCCAGAGCACTACTATTATCCAACATTCTGGAGAAAAACTAGTTCTAACTAGGCCAAGGTGACAGAGGGTCAGCCGTGGGCGACACCTAAGCACAGGGCAAAAAAAGCTGGACATATTGCAGCTCCGAGACACCCTCCCCTCGGACGGCAAAGTCCAGAGCTTTCATAAACAGATGAATTAGAAGACATGTACATGACACTACCTAGAAATAGAGAAATTCTGTAAATGTTGAAACAGTTCTAAAATGTCAAGAATCTTGGGCTCCTTGTGGCAGGAAGGTATTTTTTCCAGAGTCTCATACCATTTGATGTCTTGTAATGTGCATTCATCAGTCTGACCCAAACATACCTTCAGTAAATTATAACTTTAATTTCTTTAGATGAATTACTAATAATGACTAGCACTCTAGATAATCTTTTTCCTCACTGACTTCTACTGGGAGCACTTATTATATTTTACTGCAAAAAAGATACAATTTTTAAGTCTGAAGTAACAAAATAAAAAACTACCCATTCAGAAAATAAATCATAAATCTCTCCATTCTGTCTTTCCTACAACTTCCCTTTTCAGCTTCAAGTAGGCTGGGAAGATGGGGGAAATTGTTTTCCAGGAGAAAAAGCAGAGGAACGTGTCAGGTGGCCCTGGGAGCCCAGCCATGAGATGCTCCTGTCCTCCCCCAAGGGAGCCCAACACCGCCAGTACCCTCTCTGTCCCTCTCTAACAAGCCAACACTGGGGATATTTATTCCAAATGGATTCATTTTCACTCTACCTTCCAATGTTGTCCACAAATGAGGATATGCTTCTTCGCAATGTCCACCCTGTCCCAAGCCATTGCTAGATTTAGTTGCTCCGATGCTGATAGGTTTGTGCCTGGGGTAAAAGAAAGGAGCAGTCATATACTCTGCTTGGTGTGGTGGTGCATGCCTATAATCCCAGCACTTGGGAAGCTGAAGCAAGAGGATAACTGCAAGTTTGGTACCAGCCTGGGCTACCAAGTGAGCTCAAGGATACTCACCCTTCAGCAGTGCTGTCAGGATTACTAAGTCAAGGTCCTGCTGTTCCTCAGAGTCGGCATCGAATATGGTAATCTGCAGTGGCGGAAAAACAGAAAGCCAGACATTTGGGGGTTGACCAAAGAAATGCTTTCAAACAGTCTTGCAGAATTCACATTTAAGTACATGAATTAAAGAAAATATTCCTCATTTTTTAATTTTATTATAAGATAGAGGCTCTGTTACTTATAAAAGAGAAACTGTTTAAATAGGGTGACAAGAAATTGCAGGCACTTGAAAGAGTAAAACTTGCAAAATTTCATATGTACTAGAATTTGCTATGTGAATGCTACAAAGAGAAGAAACTCACTATTAATTCATAATATAAATAAATCATTCCTCCTTTGAGGAGAAGGTTTTTTGTTTTGTCTTGTTTTTGTACCAGTAATCGAACTCAGGACTTTCCACTTGCTGGGCAGGCGCTTGTGCCCCTGAGCTATATGCCTTGCCTGTCATTCTTTCTTTGAAAGAGAGAGATGCCAAATGAGATCCTCCTGCTCACTTACTCCTATAAACTAAGACTGGTGCGTTTTAATAAGAAAGGAATCTGAAAGCATTTGTTTTTTAAAGTAAGTGTGACAATTACAATGGACAGGTCTGGGGATGTATGCAAGGTCCTGAGTTCAATTCCCATAAAAAAGATGGATAGATAGGTAGATAGGTAGATAGATAGGTAGATAGATAGATAGATAGATAGATAGATAGATAGATAGATAGATAGATAGGTAGGTAGATAGACCCTAACAGCAAGTACAGTGCAGCTCAGACAGTCTTCACACTGTGCCCCCACTCATCCTGGGTTGACTTTTCTAAAGACCAATGCAGACTTCCGAAGGGTGACCTGACAGTAAATATGCATTTCACATAATACAGGAAGCTGGTTAAACAGTAGAAAACCAAAAGTAGCAAATCCTACTTCAAGGTAGATCACCAACCAGCCAGTCTTGGGTAAATATCTCAGGTCCTTTGAATGTAACTTGTTCAGCTCAAAAATGAGAAGAATTCACTAAAAAAATCTGTATGGTATCATAAAGATATAAAAATCACACTGCTACAACTCCACCTGTTGGTTCTCTTCACCTAAACCTCCAAGATGGCAATGGATAAAAGTGAAGCCCCCAGTGCACAGGGACTGAGAACATACACCATTGGCTGCTGTATCCTGCCCTTCTTGGACATTATTCTGCTCATTAACTCCACAGCTGGATGACAGAAAGAGGCAAGCACACTGGCAACCTCCTTAATATGACCGTATCTTAACTCACTGAATTTCCACTATTGTGCGAAATACAAAGTGTGGTGGGCTAAGCACAAGGTTTCATCTCTGAGCTCAAATTTCACTTCTACAGTGTCCTAATCTCATGACTATGATATCGCCTCTATTCTCTGGTCCTCGGTTTCACATTTCTGAACTGGAAATAAACTATTGCTACATTGAACTCACTGATGGGGTTACTTCAGATGAAGAAATATACTCGAAAGTACTTTGCTGGGGCCAGGGAGATGGCTCAGTAGAATAAGCGCTTCCCTGGCAAGTGCAAGGGTCTGAGTTCAATCCCCGGTTCCGCCAAAAAATAAAAAAATAAAATTCTGAGTCTTAAAAAAAGTTGTTCTCAACTTTAAAAAAAAAAAAAAAGAAAGAAAGAAAGAAAAGAAAGTACTTTGCTAACTATGGCTTGTGTCTAGTTGTCCCCTCAAAGCCTCATGCAGTCAGGGAGTGGACTTCTAGATTTGGTGATTAACTCATGATCCACTGGGATGATGGGTATTAGTGCTGCTGGGATTACAGGTGTGGGTGCTATCGGGCTAGGGCCGATAGCCTAAATGCAACATAAGGGAGACAGACTTGCTCTCCAAAGCCATCATTGCTGCTACTCCTCCTTTGGCTCTCTTGCTCTTGCCACCACCAGGAATGGATGCTCTCTGCCATGAGCCACTCTGCCTTGGAGCCAGCTGAGTATGGACTGAAACCTCTAGTAACTGTGAGCTAAATAAGTCTTTCCTTCCTCGATTTTGGGTGTTGAGTATTTGTCCCAGCAATGAGAGAAGAGTAACCAAGACAATGCTAATTACAAGCATGTTGGTTGTTGCTGTACTTATATGTGAATAAAAGTCACCTACAGGGTTTCGCACATGCTTTGCTTTCTTTGTCTAGCCTGATCTTGTTCAGTTGGCTTTTTAAGACTGGGTACTATAATATTACCAACATTTTTCCAATAATGTGTCCATTCTTCCTATTCCAGAAAGATCATGTTGAATTGGGACATATCAGCATATTTATTGTAGTTTTCAGCTTTACATAATGAAAATGCTGATCCTGGTACCCTAACCCTAAACACTTTTCAAATGGAGTCTACATTGTGGTCACAATGCAGTCTGTGGACTCCTTTTCTACTCCAGTCTTTATCTTCCCATCATCCGCTACATTCCGCTGCCTGCCTGCAGGATTTACTCAGGAGTCTGTGACCCGGCAGAATTCAGCTCACTGAAGCCTTGGAGTTGCTCATTTACTCTGCGAAAGTTATGCACAATTAAGCTCAACAACTTTTCTGTACTACTATTTTTATCCTATCTAAGTGCTGCCTAGGTCCCACACAGCCGGGAAATTGAAGCATGAGGGGTAGGGGCAGGGTGGAGCAGGAAGAAGCCAAGTTCATTCACATAAGCATCAAATTCTACACAATAGCTATAGCTATTCATGCACAAAGTGGGAAAGCCCATATTGTAGACTGTAAAGATCAAAACAGCAATTTCTGGAAAGTGGCATTTTTCTTAAGTAGGGCTGAGTAATCAACTCCCGATACTCACAGAATCTTTGTGCACCATACACTCCATGAGAATTTGAAAAAGGTGCTTGGACTGTTTGAGACTAAAGTTGAAAGCATTCTGAATCATAGCGATGATCTCCTCTTTCACCTGGACCCGCAACCTCCTGGCACAGAAACAGATGGTCACAGCCGGACACAAGTCAGGCAAGGGACAAACCCAGCCACTGATTTGAATACAACAACATGCGACGTAACAACCATTGTCAAATTCCTATTATTTTATTTAGTGAAAGTCTGTATTGCTCCTAATTTTTTTTTCTCTCTCTCTCTTTTTTTATTCTTTAGAAAAATTTTTTAAAAAGAAAGAGAAAAAAAGAAAAAACAGCAACAGTAGTGTAAGACACTCCATCCACCTTTCTGGAAAGGTTGCTACGGGGAGTTCTACCAGAGAACAAATGGGCAGGAAGCAGACAAAAGCAGGAGCTCAGGGGAAAGTGGAATCTGCCCTGGAGGCGGAGCCCTGGAGCCCGGGGATTTGCTGAGGGCTGTGAATCTCCTGGAATTATGCTCCAAAAGATGTGAACCCTGAAAAACCACTCACCCAAGGGAACTTTAGAAAAGAGAGGAGTGAAAAAGGAGAGGGGCTGAAATACAACTATAGGTATAAGTGAGATATAGGTATAGGTGAGGTGAAGGTGAGGTATAGGTGTAGGTGAGGTATAGGTGTAGGTGAGGTGTAGGTGTAGGTGAGGTATAGGTGTAGGTGAGATAAAGGTCTAGATGAGATAAAGGTATAGGTGAGATACTGATATGAGCTACAACTCTAGGTGAGATACAGCTGCAGGTGAGATATAGCTACAGATGAGATGCAGGTATAAGTGAGGTACAAGTGTGAGATACAGGCAGCATAGGTAAGGTACAAGTATGTGTGAGATATTGGTATAGAAGTAGAGCATGGAGAGCTAAACAGCAGGACAAAGAGTAAAGAAAGAGAGCCCAGAAAGCTAATGGAACATAAGCAGCAAATAAATATTTATTGGGCTGGAGAGATAGCTGGGCAGTCTAAGCATCTGTCTGTCAAGTGCAAGGACCCAGGTTCGATCCCTAGTACCACATGCCATGCCAGGCCCACCATTCTGGCCACTGAAACCAGATGTGGTGGCACATGCCCGCAATCCCAGCGCTGGGGAGGCTGAAAACAGGAGGATCACTACAAGTCCGAGCTGCATAGTGAGACCCTGTACCAAATTAAAAAAATAAGTATTTACTACATAGATGAGTGGAGCTGCCATTTCAGTTCCTGGGCACTGAATTTACACAGCATGAACACCATGTTCTCAAAGCCAGCAGATTGACCCTGGCTATCAGAATGGCTAGAGAACCAGCATCTTTGAAAAAGAGAGAGAATCAAAGCTGGAAATAAACACATCCTGCCACTTTTATAAATGGCAAATACATTGAAGATGACCTGGACATTGAAGCAATGGGGGCAGAGCTGGGGGGGAGCTCTAGCAAGCCAGTGTTATTCATCTTCTCCTTCACTGGATGACCAGCTCACTAGCAGAGAAATAAGTGGTCGTGACAACACAGTCCCTGAAAAACAGATTGCAAGCTCAACCACTGTCCTCTGAAGATAAGTGACCCACATAAAGGCCCACCTGAAAGAATAAAAATGGGGGATCAGTAGTGGCTGGAGTGTCCAAAAAGAAGAGTCCACGACTCACCCCTCATCTGTCAAGTGCTTGTGGGTGAAGGCCAGGATGTCGGCGGCTCTGCCCGTGCCCTCACACACGACCACAGGCTCCTGATCCTTCACCATCTCCCACACCGAGAGCACGAGGTTGGGGCCTCCTTCCACCACCAGCCCCACCACAGGCACGCCTTGTCTTGAGCCTGTTCCAGAGCACACATAGTAAATACCGTGCTACAAGCCATCCCATCTCAGCCAGTCAGCCCTGGATACATGTTTGTGAATGGCTACGTGTCGCGACTGCTGACTCTGGCCAAGCGTCTCCAATTTCACCCAGCTTTGCATAGATCAAGACCAAGCCAGGAGCTTAGACTGCAAATAAAATCTACCGTAAATATGGTGAGGATGTCTTCAAGCTTTTGCCAAGTGAAACAGAAGAGCTTTGTCCCCTCAGGGATTAAATCCAGGATCTTTCCACTGATCCACATCCCCAGCCTTTTTTTCACTTTTTCAGTATGATGTCTCACTATTTCACTCTGTTAACCCAACTTGCAATTCCTCAAGCAGTAGGACAGGAAAATGCCATCACACCTGGCTGAAGTTTAATGTTTCATTGTGGGAAATACCAAATTTATCTCAAAGTAAACAGAATCTATAATGGACTTCAAGGTATCCATCATTCAGTTCCAAAAGCGATCAAGTCCTTGCTAATTCAACAAATTTCTCCTGTGGCAGGGCAGTCCTAAGGATTGAACTCAGGACTTTGCACATGTTAGGTAAGGGCTCTATTCCCAGCCCTCCATAAACTTTTAATGAGGAGTATTTCTAGGAATCAGATGGGCTGGTTAGCTTTCAAAGACTTTTACAATATGTTTCATTTCAATATAGACTCCATTTTACTGTATAAATTTCCTGTCACGATCATGGGTTACTTTATTAGAGCAGCAAAGACCCAAAAAAGGAAGCATGGAGCCTTCTCTTAAAAGAAGATATTAAGTGGAAGAAGGTCACAGAATGCTAAGTATAATACATTTCATTTATATTTTTAAAAATATAAACTTAAGCATGGCTATCTATTGTATATGTATAAATGCAGCCACGTGTGTAGCATGTTATCTAAATTGCCAGGTGATTCTGGAAGAGCATGCACCAAACTGTATTTACAGTAGAAAATGGGGTGTCGGGAGCTTGGAGAAATTTTGTAAAGACACTTTGTTCATCTTATAATTTTTTAAGTTTTTAACACCACATATGCATTGATATGTTATTTTTGAATCAATACTTTTTACTTTTCTTTTTTTTTTTATGTGCAGCCAGGGATTGAACTCAGGCCCTTGTCCTTGCCAGGGAAGCGCTTATTGAACTAAGCTATCTCCCCAGCCCCACTTTTTACTTTTCAAAGGGAGAAAATTTGACAGGTAATGCCCTACTCGTACCTGAGCAAAAGAGAATTTCCCTTGGGGTCACACATCTTGAGGGCTCCCATGCCACTGTTCTCTGGCCACCAGTACCCGCCCCCTTCACAGAGAGGAGACTCTCTGTGGGGGCCTGTTTTGGTGGAAGGCTGCGCCCTTTCTGCTCTTCCTGCAGTTCCCAAGACTCCAAGTCCTGTTTAGAGGGACCTGTAAGCCTCTGCCTCAGGAGTGTCTTCTCCAAAGAAGTTCTCAACACAGAGAGAGGGGTGAAGCTATGACTTCCAAGTGCAGTGTCTGGGTGGTCACGTGTGTGTGGCCCACATGAAATGCAGACATGAGCCACAGGTGGAAAGAGAAGCGGAGCGAGGGTAAGCTCACAGTCATGCTCTGACTCAGCATGACCCCAAATCCAAGAACTGTGAACCTAACCTGGCCTTCCCACTCGACGTGTCAGTGTGACAGGGTAAAACACACTTTATCGTGCATTAGCTTGATTTGAAGCTTTTCAACATTTAGACAGACAGCACAGAGGCTTCATGGGTATCCTGGCCCCAGAATACACAGGGCTGTGGGTGGCCTGTTAGCAGGCATCCATGTACTTCGTTCTGCCTATTTAATTGCTCTGATGTTCTTCTTCCTTTCCTTTTTCATTCACCTCCACTTCCTTATTACTTTCTCTGTATCAGTAAAAAGCAAGCTGAGGATGTAGCAGCTGACAGACAGTTACACCAATAATTTCATCTTATAAAAGCTAAATGAAATGAGGGGGTGACGATGGTTTGTTAAGGCCCAAAAGTAATAACAAGGACCAGCCAGACAGCTCAGAGGTCAAAAGTTCCTGCTTAAGCAGAGCGCAGAGGCGGGGTTCTATCCCCTGTGTGCTGTGCCGGCCCCACCTTTGGGGCACACTGAGTTGACTGAGACTGGGCAGAGTGGCACACACCTGTAATCCCAGTGCTGGGAGGCTGAAAACAGGAGAATCACTGAGTCTGATCTGTGTACACGTGAGACCCTATAGATCCTGTACACCCTGCACTAAATACAAAAAAAAAAAAAAGGTAATAAATTTTTAAAACTTTATTTTGTTTTTATAGTGATCAGGATCAAACCCAGGGCCTCACACAGCCCACACAAGTGTGCTACCACTGAGCCACAGCCCCAGTCCCGTAGGCCCCCCTGCCTCAAAGCACCTCTGAGAATCTGATGCAACCTGGATACTGCCCACAGCTCATCTCAAAAAGCCCTGTCACCAGCCAAATAGCTCAGCGGACTAAAGTGCCTGCTTAGGCAGCCGCAGTAGCTGGGGTTCAATCCCCGGCGTGCCATGCCAGCCGCGCCCTCCGGGCTCTCTGAGATGGCAATTGAGACTGGGCGTGGTGACACGGCCTGTAATCCCAGCACTTGGGAGGCTGAAAACAGGAAGATCACTACAAGTCCAATCTGTATAGTAAGACCCTGTAGATCCTGTACTAAATACAAAAAAAAAAAAAAAAAAAGCCCTGTCAGGTTTTGACCTCTTGCATAACCCACCCGCACGTGAAATGTCACCCTCTGTAACCATCTGCGCTCACTCCTCTCAGACCCCCTCCACGGGCGCTTCCACCACTCCCGCTCCCACAAGGGCCTTCTCTTCCACTCCGTCCCACTTGCTGATGTCACCAGCTTCCCAAGAAGCCTCTGCGGACCATACGATGCCCCCCAAGCCTCTCTCCCGCCGTCACCCAGTTTTGCGTCCTCTTTCACTCTGATTTCTTCCTGCCCTGGCAGCCCACACGTAACTGACTCGCTCGGGGGCCGCTAGCCATGCAGAAGGCCGAGCAGCGCGTGGCTCCGCCTTAACAGGCCCCCAGCCCGAGAGAACTCACAGCTGTGTATTTTCTGCAGGGCCAGGTACTTCTCCAGGTTCCTCCTGAGCTTCAGCTCATTCCCGTACCTGCCCACAGTGCCGTCGTCGGACAGGATGAAGTGGGAGTGCATGCCGTTGAGCGTGGTGAGCTTGCTGACGGGGTTGCCCAGAGTCTGGTACATGCACACCACCTGAGAGACAGCCGGGACAGGCGTCAGCGCTGGCTCCTTCCCCGGGCTCCCCGCTGCAGAGCCCTGTCTCCCCACCTAGCAAACCGCCTGCTAACATCAAAGAGTATCAATTGCGACTCAGCACAGTGCTCAAAACCAAAACCAAAACCCAGCTCTACAGAAGCTCCACAGGGGAAAAATGGCACAAGAGCCCTTGGCTATCGGGAACTGCAAAGACAGCCTTCCACAAGGCAGTGCCTTGCCCACCCTACTGTTACAGGAATTAGGGCGTGGCAAATTTGCGCGAGAAATACGCTGGACCTGTCAAGGACAAGATCCCAGGACAGCGCCAGACAATCCCCCGGAGCCCGGATGTGGCGTTTCTCGCGGGCTCCCAAAGATGTGAACAGAATATAAGGAGGCAGCGGCCTGGAGGATCATTGTGTGCTAGACTCAGGCTGTGGTCTTGCTTTTGCTCTTTTTGGTTTTATTTATTTATTTATTTATTTTATTTTATTTTGCAGTACCAGGGATTGAACTCAGGACCCTGCACTTGCCAGGCAAGCACTTATTCCACTGAGCTATCTCCCCCGTTCGCTCTTTTTATTTTTTTCTCGTTTGTTCAGCCTAAATTTGCTCTGCAGAGCCAATTTGTCCTTTACCCCTTCTCCCCCCACTTTCCACATGAACCGTTGGCGCCGTTTCCGACTAGGCTCGCTGGATCGATTCTTTGTTCAAGGCAAGAAGGACCTGAACACTTCTGCTGGGCGAGCTGTTTCTCAAGGAGCAGCTGTGCCCATGTCGCTGGAGTGCTTAATCGGGGCCACTTCAGGAAGGGCGTGATCTAAGGCTGGGACACAAGAGTAGCTGAAAGCCAGCGAGGCCGGGTGTCCCCAGCCCTGCAGGAGCCGGAGGCCACTGTGCACTCCCTGCCCTGCAGCCAGCCGCACAGCCTGAGGTCCAGCCGCCTTCCCACCAGGAGAAAGGGGGCCTGGGGTGGGCGCCTCACACCCCGCAGCCGCGGGACTGCAAATGCCACCCACGCAAAAGTAGGAAAATTTACTGATTCATTTTTGGTTGGTTGTTTTTCCCCCGTCTTTTTCTTCACAAGCTTATGAGTGTGTGGAGAAGTTTTGTCATTTTTGTTTTCTTTTTCTTCTTCCTTCTTTTTCTTAACACTTTTTTCTTCTTCCTTTCTCTCTTCTTTTAATTTTTTTTTCTTCTTTTAATTTTTTATATTTTAATTCTCCACAATATTTTCTTTTTTCTCCCATTTTTATTGTCTTTTTCTTGTTGTTACCTTTATATAATTCTGTAAATACCTTTCTACTCCAATAGGATCCTTTGTCTCACTTTCTGTTTCTTATCTCTCACTGTTTAATTTTTCAGTTTTTCTTTGTGCATTCTTCTATGCCCAACCTCCTATATAACCATTAAGCTTTATTAATTTTTAGGTCTGTTTTTCTATCACTGAAATTTTTTCTATTGTCTTTGGAGGAATGGATACCACATTTACTAGGTATTTGCTGCATGTCATGATCTGCTTTGTCTTACTGTTCATACTGTAATTAAAGATTTCTAAGGTTAAGGGTGATACACTATTATGTCTGTTGGTATGTAAATGCCCAATTTGTCTTGGATGATGTTACTGATGCTGCTTCATTTGATATTGCCAGGGTGGTACAGTTGTTGCTATTAGCTATCTTCCTTGTATGTTCAGACCCAAATTACATGTGTGACATTCACAGTAGTGTGGTCTACTTTCAGAGAACTGGGTGCTGGGCCAATTATATTGCATATGGGAAAGAGACCAAAGATGGATGGAGGGGGAGAGAGAGGGGACAAAAAACAATTAAGATGTGTGATATGCACTGTACCAACTCCCCATGAGGAATGTGATCATTATGTACTGCAGACAAGTACTAGTAAAGAAAAAAAAAAAAGTAATTCAAAGTAAAAAATGAACCAAAAAATTTACAAATCCTGTGAGCTAGGTTAAACCTTTTCTTCTTTAAGAAAAGGAAACTCCATTTGTTACCTAATCACAACATACTGTCATTTTTGCACAAATAAATCAAACTATCAAAAACTATGAGACACCCTGAGGAAACCCACAGAAGTAACAGGCCACAGCATGAGGATGAAACAGCATGAGAAAATAAAAACTTCTGGGGCCAGGGAGATGGCTCAATGGAGTGGGCGCTTCCCCAGCAAGCGCAAGGCCTGAGTACAATCCCTGGTTCCGCAAAAAAGAAAAAAAAAGAAAAGAAAAACTTCTCTGGGTTAGTTGACGATGATCAGGAATTATTGATGACGTGTAGGAATTATTATGTTTTAGTCATAATAACAGCATTGTGATTTCATATGTTTAGATTTTTTTTTAATTCTCCCAGGTCTCAGTGATGACAAGCTTTCTCTTTTTTTAGTTATTTTTTATTAGTACATATTTGCCATATATAATGATGACACTCATCCTAGGGAATCTGTACCTATACGTAATATATCTTAATTCTTTTTTTCCCATTCTCCTCACCTCCCTTCAACCCTTCTTCTTCATATTTTCTTAAATTGTTCCTATAGTTTAGAAAAACCTACTAAAATATTTAAGGATGAGGTTATTTGATGTCTGAAATTTGCCTCAAGATATTAAAGAGGAAAGGAGGAAAGGAGGAAGTGGGCAGAGGAAATAAAATAGGCAATGTGTCAACAAATGCTGAAGCTGGGTGACAGTACATGGCCAGTCATTATTCTAATCAGTGCTATTTAACATGTCTGAAAATTTCTAAAATTAAAATATCCATAAGAATGTCTATATGAGTTAGCATAGAGAATCAACGCTGATAAAATTAAGCTTTAAAAGAAGCAAGTTTGCAGTGAATTTCTAATGTTACTTTTTAAAAATAGGCATTTGCAACTCTACAGATATATGTATAAACAGAAAAATCTCTGGAGCAAAAACACACCAAAATATTAATAGTAGTTATTTTTGTTCTTTGTATCTTTTCTGATAATTGATAAAAACATGTGTGTCTGATAAATACACAGCCAAGCCCACAGATGAACACACAGGCCAGTTCCGGGGAGTAGGTACTCAGAAATGCATGGAGCAGGAAGTAGCACGGCAAGGGATGAGTACTCAGGACCACATGGACAAAGTACTATGTTTCACCATGTGCAAACCTCTACAGATATATTGGCCATTTGTCAGGCAAAAGCTATCCAAGAGTTTTACCCAAAAGAGATTTTCATTAATATTTTAAAGAACCGTTCTGGCTCCAATAGACTGCAGCAGGAGACAGTAAGGACGGGAAAGGCAATGGTCATTGAGGCATCAGATAATGGTCCTTGGAACCCCCTCGCTAACAGGGGAAGCTATCAGAAGAAGTGAGATTCCAGCTGTATTTTGAAAGTGCAGCTGAGATAGTCTACTGATGGGCCAGGTTCGGGGTATGAGACTAAGAGGATTATCCAGAGATTTCTGGCCAGAGCAACTGCAAGATTGGATCATCACTTTCTAAAATTGGGTACTACTTCAACCCTAAAGAGGATTAATTTGAGTCATTTGTATAATAGATGTATGTTATGACCATAATATTAATGGAAATAAATGACATACAGAAGTTTCAATATCACACAGTTTCTCTTACATTAAAAACCCAACATATAAATAATTCTAAAAGTGAAATAAAAGAGAAGAAACAGGGAGCAGCCTTGATGGAGATGGGTAGGAGAATCTGGAAACAGAGGGCGAGAGAAGGGTGGGAAGGAAATGATGAAGATTTGGCGTGTGCATGCGCCAGCTCCCCAAGATGAACGTCACTGTTATGATAACAAGCACATATGTATGGATGCAGAAAGGAAATAAAACATAAATATATAAAATAATGTGAGGGAAGTAGAAGGAAGACTGGAGCCGGTTCTAGATATATCACATGTGAAGTGTCTATTAGACGTCCGAGTACAACGTCACATGGACATTTGGCTGTCAAAGGATTGTCTACTTACATCTTTTCCAATAAGATCTCTCTGGTTCTCAATGACACCCCACGGAGGGATTCCAACGGTCCAGATTTTCCTCAAGGACTTAGAGGAGTGGGCTTTCAGAGCATCCCCAACATGCTTGGAAACTCCTACAAACAACCAGTACACAAGTCAAATTTTAACTCACATTAATCATGCAAAACAGTGAGTTGGAGAGAAGCTCATAGACAAGTGTACGTAAAGGGTCATTCTTCAGGAAAGTTCCTGGCACAGCGGAATTAGTTTGTGATATCTTGGCCTCCTTCCTCTGTTTCCTCTTGACACCTCTTTCTCTTATCACTGACCTCTGGACCTGAGTAATTCCAGTCTCCCTCTGGACAGTTTCTGCCTATAAGCTCAATTCCAAGCCTACTCTTCTTTGACCAGAATGTTCTACCCCTTATCCTTTCTCAGCAAGCCCAGCCCTCACATAAGGAATGTTCTAAGTATTTTGATCTCTAATTTCCAATGACTCAGCAAAACATCCTCAACTGATTAAAGCAAACTAATGAGATAACTATATCCACCAGTATTTCAGACAGTGTATGAAAAATAATGCATTACTGCTTGCCTTCTGAGAATAATGATAGTAACAAGAATTCTAGTAGCCTCTACTTACTGGCCCATTGTAAGATGCAGCTTTTTGTATATTTACACTTAAGGGAGGAACATGTTTTTTGGTCCATCTTCTAGACAAAAACAATGACACAAAGAAGCCAAAAACTTATCCAAGGTTACAGCTGGTTATTTGTAGAAATTAGATAACAATCTAAGTTATCAGACATTCTTTTAAATAGACTATTTTTATGGAAGTTTTTAGGTTGAACAAAAGATGCAGAGAATTCATAGTACACTCCACACAAAACAGCCTCCCCTGGCAGCACCGGCTCCCACCAGAATCCTGTTATATAAGGAACGAGTCTATCTTGACGCCCCATCACCACTCAGAGACTTCAGCTTACGTGAGGGTCCATGCTTGGCCGTATGTATTCTGTGTGCTGACAACAGTATCATAACAGGCACCCACCGCTGCAGTGTCATCAAACTACCTCATTGCCCTTGTAACCCCTCTAGACATCGCCTACTCATCCATCCTTCCCTGTTAATTCCTGTCAACCACTGCCCTTTCCACTGTTTCCGTAGTTGTCTTTTCCAAACTGTCATATAGTTGGAATCATATAGTATATAGCCTTTTGATTTTGATCTAATCTGACCTGTAGTTCCAACACTGCATTATAAGATACATTCTTCCTATCCTAGTAATGATTGTGCAGGTGTCATTAGCCCAGAAAAAAAATCACACTGCCATGCTTTGAATGGGTCCCCTTCAAAATCCACGCGGGAGGTTTCTAATCCCCAGCGCCACAGTGTTTGGAAGTGGGGGGCCCCAGGCTCAGAAATGGACAGATGCATCTGTCAAAAGAGCTTCTGAGAGGATGCTTGCTCTCTTTTGCCTTCCAACATTTACAATGTGAGGACACAGTCAGAAAGTACACATCAGATGCAAGCTTCTTGATCTCGGACTTCCCAGCCTCCAGAACTGTGAGAGAATTAATTTCTATTCCTTATCAATGACTAGTCTCAGGCTTGCTGTTGTAAGAGCGAACAGAATAAGACACCTGCACAGTGCATGTGCCTGATGCAGAGAGCCACACCCTTCTGTCTTGCACCTTCTCCTCCAGCTCATTGTCTAAACCTTGTCCGGAGTCATCACTAGAATCCTGGTTATAACCTGAGGAGCAGATGAGTACCACCTGAGGAGTCATCCACCCAAATAGATGACAATTCTTGAGTTAATTTTTAAGCCAGGTTAATGCTTGGTTGACCAGCCTTGTTGTTGTTACTGCTGCTGTTGTGGTAACTGATCCTCCTCTGATCATAATACTGGCTGCCTGCGGAGCACGTCTGCAAAGCTCTTTCTGCTCCTACTGCTCCCCTACTCCTCTTTATTCAGAACCCTTCGAGAGTCTCCTGCCACACCGAGAACAATGCCAGCTCATCACCCATTGGCGCCCAGTCTGACCCCAGGCTTCTTTGCTGTACCATCCCTGATACTGGTGACACCAAGGGCAGTGGCCTCCTGCCCTTTCTATGCATGCCTTACTCTCGAGCTGAGCGCCAGACAATAAGCTGCCACCTCCGTCCTGCTCAACACCAATGCCAACTGCTCTATCCTTCACCCAGCCCTCAGTGAACCATGAGTTCAAGCTATAATTTATCTCCCTTTCCCTAGTACTCCCCAGATACCTTGTACCTCCATTACGGTCTAGTCAGCATCAGTCTCTAGCTATTCGCCTTCTGTCCACCTGTCCCAGGCACTGCATCTAGCTCTGTCCCTTACCTAGAGCCTGTGTTACTCACCTCTTCTCCATAGCACCTATTAAAATTCTTCAGTACCGCAGATTCTGAAGGGTACTGGCATCTGTTTCAATTGTCATGCCCTATTATGCCCAAATATAGTTCAGAAGCATCTCAAGAGTAGGCAAGAGCTCTGAAGCAGAGACTTTCAAATTTAATGTGTATAAGAGCCTTCCAGGGGTGTTGTTCAATGCAAGCTCTAACTCCACAGGTCTGGGTTGGGCCTGAGATCACTGCTGTTGGTTCAGGGCCCTCACCCCAAATCATCAAGCCTCAGAGGATCTGTGGTTGAATTACACAAACTGACTGCATGTTAGGGAAGCTCCAAGCACTCCTCATTTCCTACTTGTTTTGTTCAGAAAAACTACTTTAGTCATCTGCTCCATACTGTGTAACTTTTCCTTGAATTTAGCTGGTCCTAGGCTGTGGTTCTTTTCTTAAAGCCTTAAGTAAAATGAAGCATGCAGTGCAGTTAGTTATGCAAAGAGAAAGCTTTGTCCAAGTCTATTCTTTTTCTTACCTGTGCAACACCTCCCCACCTCACCCCTATTCTACTAGAAAGAAGATAAGTACTGTGCAGTGGCCTCCGGACTGCCAGCTCAGTGTATTCCATGAACATGAGACAGTCAGGATCTGTGAACTGTATAAGATGAATTATAATGCTACCTAGCAGTGGCAGGCTAAATCCCTTGGTTTTAGTTTGGTTTGTTTTGGGGTTGTGTGGATTTTTATTTTGTTTTTGCTGTTTGTCTTCCTTCATTTCTTTTCAATCAGAAGAAACAGCTCAATGGGTACATGGTGCCAAACCTTAGCAAATGCCTCGCCCTGCCTCCAGCCCACCACCAGGTAGGAGAGCTGGTGCACAGACTCTTCCAGTGTGGAAGGTGAGCGCAGACACATGACAAGGGCCACAGGCAGTCCTTACATAGAAATCAGACAAAAATGTGGTGTGCTAGTTAAGCTAAAAAAGGCAATTGCAGGCAATTGTTAGAAAAGCCCCTCCAGTGCACAGCTCACTACACAGTTCATAAACGCAAAGGAGAGAGACTCTTACACATCGCATTTCAAGGACTATAAACAGGTCAGTGAGTGAATGGACAATCATGTCCTTTAAAGTAGTAATTGTCTACTCAAGCCCAGTGCATTAATGCAGTGTCACTCGTGCCCCACATCCACAACCTTGATGATGACAACATGAGTTTACCCTACGTCCAGACCTATGCACCCAGCACGCATCCTTGGGTTGAGACCCCTTGTAGCCTCCTCCTAGTCCTGACAGTAGATCGTTTCCCAAGTGGTCTACATTACATTTTGAGGGCTGGACAACGATGATGAAGGGGGAAAAGATAAATCAATCAGTTCACTGCCTACGACAGAAACTAACAGAAAAACAGTTCCATACTCTTTAACATGTGTTGATTCAAGACCCCAAGTGACTGAAAGTGCCACCGTGTTGTCCCCAACCAATCCAGAAGCAGCAGGTGCTACCGTGGGACATTCTCTCCCACTTCTGTTTTCTTGCACCCCCTCTGTGCTGCTGATGGGGGCTCAGTGTAAGTCATGGGCTTTCTTTTCCCAAAAGTTCACAATGTAATTGCCCTCACCTCTTTGCTCGAGCAAACATATTTCCAACCACTTCCTAGCCCTGCTGCTAGTAGTTACAGAATTTGACAAGGGACTGAGTCCTTTCCTGTCTGGCACCTGCAGGGATGCCATAAACTCTTCCATTTCAGAGGTCACTTGCTCTCAGGAGTTTTGGTTCAATAGAGTAAAGCTCAGGACAGACCACAAGTTTGTTTGAAGTGATATTAAAATGAAATATTTTGGCAATGATAAAAATACATTCTAGGGGCTGGAGATATAGCTCAGTGGCATAAGCACCTGCCTGGCAAATGCAAGGTCCTGAGTTCGATCCCTGTTACCACACACACACACCACATTTTGGAAAGGTCTGTGATTCTTCTGCACTTAGATGCTAATCACTAGTCACTATTTTTGTTCTTCCTTCTGATACTACCTTTTTTTTATGGGAGTGCAGCAGAGGAAGGATTTGATGCTGTACTTCCTGGTTCAGATAAGACAGTGAGAAGAGAAGAAGGAAAGGAGGAAAGGAAGCACACAAGGAAGTAGAGAGAGCAGGAGGAAGGGGCAGGAATGGTCATGGAGGGAGCAAGAGAGTAAAGAGGTGGACAAACACTCTTTACCCGTGTTGATGCCTTCCGTGAGTATCCATGCTCCCGTCGTCTCTGCAGCTTTGACTAAACCCTGGCTGAAGACCTCTTTCAGCTTGGAGGGCATCTTAAAATTCTGGATGCCTCCATGGACAGAGATCACCAGCTTGGGTAACTCCATTTTCCACTCTTGCAGCATCAAATGTAATAGATGATCCAACCTGGTGTCATAAGAAGTGCGAATGTACTGGAAAACACATACATGAACAGAACACTGTGAAAAACACTGACCAGGCATGGAAGCCACGACCCCCCACAGGGCAGCTGAGGCGGCACAGACTGGAAAGGAAGCGTCTGGCATCTCTCTAAAAGTTCAGCTTCATGTAACAGAAACATTGGCTTTTCAAATGGCCCACACCCCTTCAAGTTCCTTCTGGGAACTATAAATCGTTGGAGGAATGTTTCCCCTGGCAGGTGGCTTGATTCCCAGAGTCTGGCAGAGGCCTGATGTGAGGCAGAAATACTTCAAACAGCTGCCCCAAAGCACTGCACCAACGAACCAGTTACCAATAAGCCACAAGTAGGTGAAATGCGATTTTTCATAAATGCTACAGCTTTGAGCTCACTTGATCTTTTCACACACTTGCATCATTACACTTAATTCATTATAAATTTTACCTTGTAACCATTTCCCTTAGATACTATCACCTCTCTGAAATTATCTCCCTTTCCCAAACAAATACTTTTCAGTTAGATGTGGTGGCACATTCCTGTAATCCCAGAAGTTGGGAGGCTGAGGCAGAAGGACTGCCACAAATTTGAGGGCATGCCAGGCTACACTTTGAGCTCCAAGGCCAGCCTGAACTACATAGCAAGACCCTGTCTCAAAAAGAAAAGAAAGTGCCAGCGAGATAGCTCAGCAGACTAAGCACCTGCTTAGGCAAGCGCAGGGACCAGGGTTCAATCCCCAGTAATGCATGCAGCGCTGGCCCCATCACCGGGCACACTGAGTCAGCCACAGAGTCAGGGCGTGATGGCACATGCCTGTAATCCCAGCACTGGGGAGGCTGAAAACAGGAGGATCACTACAAGTCTGAGCTGTGTAATGAGACCCTGTACCAAATACATTAATAAAAATAAATAAATAAAAACAAAACTTTTCACAGAACAGTTACTTCTCAATATTCAGTGCCAGGAAAGAAAACATGAGGAAAAGGAGGTTGAAAATGACCAAAGCACCTACGTGTGTTATGGACCTGCCAAAAGGAGCCCAACTAATCTGCGCAGCCAGTAGTTTAAAAATGTGAAACAAGGATGAGGGAAGCTAAGCCAGCAAGCAGTGCTCAGATGATTTTGCATTTTTTTTTGTTTGTTTGTTTGTTTTTTGTTTTTTTTTTTTTTTTAAGGTTTTTTTTTTTTTTTTTTGGTTTTTTTTTTTTTTTTTTTTTCCTCAGGGTCTCACTACATAACCCACATTAGTAGTGATCCTCCTGATTTCTGCCTCCCAAGTGCTGGGATTACAGGCGCGCGCCACCACGCCCGGACTCCATCGTTGGCTCAGCGCACCCGAAGGTGGGGCCGGCGCGGCAGGCGGAGCCAGGTATTGAACCCTGGCCCCTGCGCTTATCTAAACAAGCGCTTAGTCCGCTGAGCTATACCGCCGGCCCTGATTTTGCATTTTGCATAGGATCGTATGGTGTAACTGGCTTCTTTCCAGGAAGTGCAGCCACCACAAGGGATTCAAACCCTGTAATATTAAGATGAGTCTACCTCCCACAAGCATGTACTTTCCCAACAAGAACAAGCGAGACAAAATGAAGAATACAAAGTGTTGAGTTAACCATGCCAAACATTAATGCAAGAGATAATCTCCAGACCAGCAATAGAAGTTACCACACCATGCACCAAATGATAGCAGCTTTAAAAATCTTCCACTCATTGTCTGACACTGAAGACATCCCTTATGTCATAAGGAAAATCTTAGAATTTTGAACATGGGCGGGGGCGTCAGCTATCAAGTGTGAGTGTCAGGAAGAAGCTAAAGACGATCATGATTCCGCATCCATGTGCAGACACTGGGCTGCATGGCTTTACTGCGCACTGAAATAGCAGGCAAAAGTACACGTGGACCTTCGCATTTGTCCCAGGTTGTAAACCAGGGTGAAGGAGTCTGCCTGGTGTGGCTCACCTTTCTCTGACCCAGCTGTTGCTCTCGAGATTGGCTCCTTCAACTCTAAATCCCTTTGGTCCTGGAAGATATGGCTCTTTAAGATTTGGTGGTAAACACACTGAGAAACTAAAGAGATTTGGGGATAAATAAATGCAAGGAGCTACATATTGGTGCTAGTCTTTCTCCCAAAGGCCAGGTGAAGTGACATTAGGTTAATGACTTACTTTCACCAGTCATCTACCTTCTTTATAATTAATTGCCTTAGGCCAAAGCCAACTGGCAGGCAGAGATTAACCTGAGACATTTGTGGAATGAGGTGGGAGGGATCCTGGAAAGGGAGCCACAGCCCTGGGAAATGAGTAACCAGCTTCCTCAGCCTTTACTGTAGAGCTGCTGAAGCCTGGGGTGAAATCCAGGCTCCAGGTGGCTTCTCCTCTTCCCAAAAGTCCAGGCAAGCACTCTGAGACCTGAGGACTCAGCACTGAGCAGAGAGCCGTGAGTCCTCAGGGCTATCCAGCCCCACAGCGCCCCACTTTTCCATGTGACTTCTCTTGACCTTGGCACAAGCTCCTCACTGCCCTCCCCTTGCAGGACTTAGCTTAGCTGGTCCAACTGTGAGATGGCCTTCTTGTCACTCGGGGCGTCATCATTCTCTGGAAGAACCTGTCCCCTATTCTCATAGCACCATCTCCTCTGTGACCTTCGCATGACAGCTAGCCCAGGACAGGGCAAGAATAGGCACCTTGTAATATGTGCTGGGGAAAAAAATACTGTCAATGAGGGTGGTGGCAAAGAAACATAAAAGCAAGAGTCAAACTCAAAGGAAAAAGCATGTGTAGGGTCCTATAAGGATCAGCTTCCTAGGGGTCAGAGGAGATGGCTCAGTAGAATAAGCGCTTCCCTGGCAAGAACAAGGGTCTGAGTTCAATCCCGGGTTCCGCCAAAAAAAAAAAAAAAAAAGGATCAGCTTCCCACACAGAGTAAAAAAGACATCAATATACAAAGTCAAAAGCACTGGGACTAACACCTAAAAACACCCATTGCTAAGCTGGCCAGATAGCTCAGTGGATTAAAGCACCTGCTTAGGCAGGCATAGGACCGCTGGGGCAAACTGAGATGGTGATTGAGACTGGGTGTGGTGGTGTGTACCTATAATCCCAGAATTTGGGAGGTTGAAAACAGGAGAATCACCACAAGTCTGATCTATGTAGTGAAACCCTGTGGACCCTGCAGACCCTGTACTAAAATACAGAAGAAAAAGGAAAAAAAAAAAAAAAGACACCCATTGCTGTAGAACTGCATGAAGACAGTATTAGGACTGCACTAGGAGAGACCTATTTCAAATCTAGGGAACTGATATACTCCAGAAGCAGCTGATACGGAGCTTTCCTTAGGTGGGATCCACCTGCCCTAATAAGCAGCAGGCATTTAACATCCTCAGAGAACACAGCAGAGGGATGGCTGACCCGCCCATCCTAATGTGCTGCGGTGGGGACAGGAGCATTCCTGAAGGCCCAGGTGTCAGCAGTTTCCCTGCTAGCATGTGGCTCTGGTGGGAGGTGGTGGAGCCTTCAGGGGGTGTGACTGAGTGGAAGAAAGCCGGGTCACTGGGGGGCTGTGTCCTTGAAGGGGATATTAAGACCTGGCCCCTTCCCCTCTCCTTTTGCCTCCCTGCCATGGTGAAGTGAACAGACCTCCTCTACCACACGTTCCTGCCATGACATGCTGTGCCACAACAGGCCCAAAGCAATAAGGCAAGCAACCATGGACTAAGACCTCCTGAATCATAAGCCAAAATAAACCTTCCCTTCTTTTTTTCCCTCCTTTTAAATTGATTGAGAGGGCCAGGGAGATGGCTCTGAGGGCCAGGGGGATGGCTCAGTTGAACAAGCACTTGCCCGGCAAGCACAAGGGCCTGAGTTCAATCCCTGGTTCCACCAAAATTAATTAATTAATTAATTAAAATAAAAATCTAGATATTAAATTGATTGACTCTTGTATTCTGTCACAGTGGCAGGAAGAGGAGTAAGACAGTTTGCAGATCATGGGCAAAATTTCCATACTAGGGATAGGAGAAGAATTAGCTGGGAAAGCCCAAGTACCAGCATTCAGAGGGTGCATACCCTTCCCGAAAGGTCCTCAGAAGGATTCAGGAGAGACAAACAGTGACAGGTTACTGGTAATTGCTATGGTTAATCTTCAGCTAAAACCCATGCTATGGTTTGGATCTTAAAGGTACCCTAAAGGCCCAGGTGTTAAAAACCTTGGTCCCCATTCCTGACACCATGGGGAGGTTTTGGATACTAGGCCTGTGCCCTTGGGAGAGAATGATGGGATTCCATCTCTCCTTTTTCACACCTGGATGTGAAATGAAAACTTTGCTGCTCCGTGTATTCCCTGCCAGTGCCCTGCCTTCTTGTAGATCTGAAGCAACAGGGACAAACCTGGACTGAAATGCTAAAACCACGAGGCAAAGGAGACCTCTCCCTGGATATTTGCCACAATAATGGCAAGCTGACTAGCACAACCTGCTCCCCAGGAGCAACGGCACTACTCTTCTTCAGGACCAGCTATCCTTTGGCAGCTGCCTCAGAAGCCAGAGGGTATAAAAGCTTGCTGAAGAAAAGAAACCAGTCCAGTAAGAGCCAGACACATCACACCTGGGAAAGGTGTGATGCCTACCAGACCCAACAGAAGAGAGGATCAGGCCAGTTCTGACAAGAACATCACTCCCCTGGGTCTTTTCTACAATAAAGCAACGTCATCCGATTGTCCATTCTTTGAGATATACCTCGGGTTATCCTCTATCCAAAACCAGCCAAGCAATGTGGATTATTAGCAAACCTTGGAGTGGTAGGTGTGCTCTCCATCTTGGAAATTAATCGTTCCGAAGGTATCGGTAGGGCTTTTCACTGTGTGCTTCTCAACACACCACTGCTCATTTTCATTATCTTTGGCAGCTGAGAGGGTCCAGGAATAATCTATCCCATGATGGTCTTGAACCAATCGGCCACAGTAGCACCTAATTCCAAGAAAAATCAACTTCAGGATACAAATAGAACCCATGTTTCTACATTTTCCTAGAGTAAAGTATCTATGCCCTAATTCTGGACACTTCACATTGGGCGAGTATGGCAGTACACACTTATATTCCCAGCTACTTGGGGGACTAAGAAAAGAGGATCACAGGTTTGAAGGCAGCCTGGGCAAAAGGAAAAATAAAAGGGTCAGGAATGTGGTGAACTGGTCTAGTGTTTGCCTTCCCTGCAAGAGGCCCTGAGACATCTTAGCGATGAAAAAGAAAACTTCACAGTAAGATTTATATTAAACATAATACTGGATTATCCTCTAAATTTAGAAATGTTCTATTTGGTTTTTCCCTAGGCTGGACAGAAAAATTATTTAGAGTATGTTTTTAAAAATGCTGTAAGTCTATTGTACATGCATGATCATAGAAGCATTATTCTTAATCTCCATGGGTGGAAGAAACCCAAAATCCACCTATGGATTATTGGACAAATAAAATGTGGCCCATATCTACAAAGGGACATGATTAGGAAAGAAGGAAATTTATGCATGTGACAGCTCAGAGGAACCTTGCAGACATGACACTGAGCACAACGAGGCAGTCACAGAAATGACAAACATTGTGCAATTACACTTATACAAGGTATTTAAAGAAATCAGATTCTAGGGCTGGTAAGATAGCTCAACAAACTAAGTGCCTG